CCCCAGCAGCGATATCCCCCACCAGTATTAGACTGTGCTGTGCAGCACTCCCCCCACCTCTTCCTGACCCAGTGCCAGTCTGAGGAGGGAGCACAGAACAGGGATGCCAAGAGCACTGGTCAGGACTCCCAGATGGGGTGGGAGGGCCCCAGCGGGCAAGCACTCCCAGCAGTCCTTCAGCCCAGGCCTCCCACTCAGCCCCTCTAGAGCCTGAGGGGGCCCGCTCCGTTACCCACTTGTTGCCCAAGCTGTGGCTCTTCCTGTGTCTCGGGACAGGGGGTGTAGGGAGGCTGCCAGCAACAGATGCATCAGGACAGGTGGGTCGCCGGCTGAACCTCGCAGAACTGAAGCCAGTGGAGGGGCCTGTGAACAGAGAAAGAGCAGTGATGGGGGCTGTGGAGGCTCAGAGGAGGTGAGCTTGGGGTAAGGCATGTGGCCGCTGTTGTAGGTGGGACAAGGCTCTTACAAGCCCCACCTACTTATGAGACACTGATCCCCTCACTTCCAGTATAACTAGCTTCCAGGGCTGACATCCATTAGGATGACCAGTGGCCTGTTGTGCACGGTGCCCCTGACTGGGCACCACTTATGCAAGGCCACCCAGCTGGGTGACAGAGTTGAGACTTAACAGTACGTCATCTGAGTCCAGGTCTGGTTCCCTTACACCTGTGCCATTCTACAGCCATTTCCTTTTCTCTACCCACACATTCAGCAAAAGGGACAGAGAGCTTACGGGGGAGGCAGAGGATTTACTGGTGAGTGCACAGCTAGGTAGGCAGCGGCTCTGACCCCAGGCCTAAAAGTTACTGTCAGGGTGACCTTGGACAGGCTACTTAACTTATTCACTGAGCTTCAGTTTCCTCATCTGAAAAGTGGGAATAATTCACCTTGTAGTCATGAGGCAACTTCAGTTAGCACTCCTACTTGTTTTTATTATGCTTATTACCATATCCTCCTCAGCCCCAGTCACGGGTCATCAGAGCCAAGGGGTTGGGGACACAAATCCCACTGAGGACCATCTACAGAGACGGTGGCAGAATCCATGCCGACCACGTTCACAGGATACATTGAGGGGCGTGGTCCCAACCACTATTGTATTCTTTTCATTTCTGTGGCTTGGGAAGGGAAGTCTTCAAGGGAGGTGATCCCAGATGCTAGCCTGGCCTTCGCTGCCTGGGCCGGACACCGGAAGTGGGGGCCAGGGCTTCTGCAATCCCTGCAGAGCCCATCAAACAAACGGCAAATCAAGGGACTAGCTTGGAGGGCCTGTGAGGTCCATTCAGGGCTCCAGGTCCTCTGCCACAAGAGGCTGTGGGCCCACAAGTGACCTAAGGGTCCCATGTCCTCCTGCACTCTTGGCTCATCACTTTTTAATGTCAAAATAGTGACCCTCATCCCCAGCCTGTCCACTGCAGGTAGTCTAGCTCCCTTCTGGCACTTGAGAAGGTGGAAGGTTCACGAGGCGGGGAATTCACATCACCTTGAGCTCTGAATTCCTGCTCCCAGCTGTGTCTTACCCCCTTCTCTCCCTTCTGCCTGCCCCCAACACCTTCTCCTGCCTTTCCCCAAGGCCCCACCACCAATCCCTTCACTAGGCCTTGGTCAACTTTCTCCGTTGTTCTACCCAACAACTATTCCCAAATGTCACTCCTGTCCTTAAGCCCCCTGCACAACTCATTGACCCTCTCCCTTTCAAATGATGGCACACTCTACTTCCATGGACACTTGGTTGCCAGGTTTGATTGCTTTCACACTAGCCTTGCAATCGCCACACGCACCTCCATCCACACCGGCCTTCTTGTCTGGCCTGGGGAGGTGGGACCCGCCTCCTCTTTGCGAGACCAATCTCTCCTCTCCCGTCCTACCTGTTTCCTCTGAGAATTCCCTCCATCACTTTCGCTTTCTCTCTCTGGCCCCTTCCTCCAACCTATAAACATACTCTAGTCTCTCATTTTCTGTAAAATAAGGCCTCTTGGCCTCAGGCCTTCCTCCCAGTAAGGCACATTGCCTCAAACACAAACAGAGGTCTGCACTCCTCACTGCTCTGCTGCTGCCCCTCTCACTCATTCCTCAAGTCACTAAACTCTGCTTTCCATAGCTAGTGACATTTCCATTGACCTCATTTTTGCCAAACCAATGAATACTCATCGGCTTCTCCTAGAGTCTTTGGCATCTGACCCTAGTGATCACTGTTTGTGGCCCAAGAAACCTTAACAAGGAGGCCTCAACACACCAATACTGTCTCTGGGGGCGGCTGCCTGGGCGACCTGACCTGGTGGTAGGAGATAGGGGACACTGTCTGCAGCCTGCACATGGAATCTCAAGAACAGGGCTCTGACAGACCAATTCATAATACTGTCATGTGCTCCTTAACAATGGGATCATTCTGAGAAATGCGTCATTGGGCGAGTTCATCGTTGTGTGAACATTACAGAGTGCACTTACACAAGCCAGGATGGTACGGCCTGCTACACGCCTAGGCTGCATGGTACAGCCTATGGCTCCTCAGCTACAAGCCTGTGCAGCACGTTACTGTACAAAACAGCATGAGATTAAATCAAGGACAAGAGAAAATGATGCAATCAACAGACACGGTAAACATGGGGTGTATGAGGCTGCTGCTGGCGTGACACAGCACACGGTTGTACAGCCAACTTCATGAATAGAAAGAGTACACTCTAAAATAATGATAAATAGTATAGTAAATAGGTAAAGCAGTAACACAATCACTTATGATCATTACTAAGCACCGTGCACTGCATGTAACTGTATGTGCTGTGCTTTTATACGATGGCCAGAGCAGGCTGGCTTACCCAGCATCCCCACAGACACGTGAGTGACGCCTGGTGCTATGACGCTAGGACAGCTATGACGTCACTGTACCAACAGGAATTGTTCAGCTCCGTTATAATCTATGGGACCACCGTCGTATATGCGGTCCGTCGTTGACCAAAACGTCATTATGTGGCGCGTGGTGGTAATGAACTCAGAGAGGCCTGGGCTGAATGGCCTCACCAGCCCAGAGAGGGTCCATGGAAGGCCTTTGAGGGGTGTGTGGAGGCACTAAAGTTGCACCGAAGCTGTGTGTGTGTGTGCATTCTCTGGCGAGGGCTTCCACCCTGTCAGTCAGCTTCTCTGAGGCTGTAATTCCAGACCAGGGCATGTATGGAGCCCTCTGGAGAGTGTATGGAAATGGAGGGTCTCGGGCCCATCCCTGCAGGTTCTGATTCCGTTGCCTCAGGTGGGGCTGGGCATTGCCCGCCTGGTGATTTTTCTGTTCACCCTGGGGGAGAACCCCTGCTGCAAACTCTGGAGCGAGAGCGAGCTCTGTCCTGGAGGAAACGTCTCGTGCAGCGGCTCCGCAGAGGAAAAGGAAGAATGGGAGCCATCCTGCTTTGTTTTTGTTTTGCACATGTTGCTCAATCAGTGAATCCATGCAGAGGGTGGAATTCGCCTTGTTGATCAGTAGGATCACAGTCTCTCTGCCTGAGTCACTCTGGCTCCCACCCTGGGTTCAGAAAGCGTTTTGTAAAGGTCAAATGGCATGGCTCCTCCCCCTGGGATTTGGACTGGAACTCAACTCCCTGGTGTTGTCGCAGCAATAACAATGCTGAGAATTACGGTTGAAGGTCCTGCGCTTGGTCCATGACGTGGGTACTCTTAGCAAGTCTGTTTGACAGGTAAGGAAGCCAAGGCTTATATATCTACTACATGCAGGACTTGAACCAGGGGTATAGCACAATCAGGCGGGGTGGGGGGGACTCTACAGTTCAAAGGTCAGGCATAGTGAAAATCTAAGGAAGAAGGGACACAGTGACACATTTGAGGTGATCTGGTAAGGAGGCACTTCCTCCAGGAAATGTGTGATGAATAAAATAAGGCCCAGGCGCTGCTCTTGAAAAAGGGAAGGTGAAGGGGACTGACATCTCTTATACACCAACTGTGTGCCAGGCTTATATAAACACTTCAATGTCCTATGCAGTTGACTCCTATGCAGTTGGTACTTTACTGCCATTTTAAAGAGATGCTTGGAGCACACCAGGTCACACGCTGGTGGGGTGCTGGACACTCCGAGGCTCTTCTGGTACCTCCCTTGTCCCTGCTCACTCCTGATGGACTCCCTTTCCCATCTGTCTCCAGGAGCTCCTGGCTCAGATCTCCACTTTTGGGCTCTCCCAAGCCTCCGGACTTGCCCTCGGTCTCGTCCACTCAGCTCTTGACTCTCCCTTCAGAACGAGGAGTGGCTCTGCCCCCATTCTTCTGCTTGGGACAGCCTTGGGAGGCATGCCTGGCCTCAGATGCCCCTCAGCCTAGCTGGAGGGGGCGCGGGCGGGCAGAAGTGGCTGTGGTCTCCCTGGCCCTGTGTCAGAGCCAGTGGTGCTCTGGGTTTCCTGGGTCTTGGCCACTCCCATCCCCTTGTTGACCAACAGCCTGGGTCTGACGCCGAAGCAGAAGAATTTCCATTCAGCTGGGACCTAGGGCTGGGGTGGCCTCTATGCCAATAAGTGACACTCTCTGCTACTGGAAGGCCTCACGTTCCTGCTCCACCAAGCCAAAGGTGGCCACCACGTGACAGCACCAGGGACACGTGTCTTCTGGGACAGTTTCTGAGCTGGGTGGCTGGCACGTTTGTTTCTCCCAGTCTTCTGGGCGGAGGGAGGGCTGGAGGCGGTGATAATGAGCTGGGGCTCTGGCCTGGCTTAGCAGAGTGTGGTCCCTGCGGCCTGGCCCGATATGGCACGAACAGCTGGAAAAACTGACCATGTGTCTTGACTATCTCAGAGGATTGCTCTATTTTTCCTCAGCATAATTTTTCCATGAATAATCTTTAAAGCTCTTTAAGTGGCTGTTTCTTAAGCAGTTTTATTGGAACATATGAGAACTGACAGTCTGTGGGGAATGAGATATCATGTTAAAAAGTCTGGTTTTCATTACATTTTTCTCAAGAAACCAACACGCTGCCCAACGGACCACTCATTGATTATAAAAGGCTACAAGGCCTTCTGCTCCTGGCTTTGGAACGGGCAGGATTAAGAGCAATGGATGGAAACAGCACAGAACTCAGGATCCAGAGGCAGACAGGCCTGGGGTCCCCCCGGTATCTGTCACATGCAGGCTGAGTGCACTTGGGCAAGTCACCTTGCACCTCTGAGCCTGAATTCTACATCTACAAAACAGGAACAGTGCCCGGACCTGGCAGCCTGCCTGAGAAGAGGAAAAGAGGGTGTCCCTCCCTCCTTTCCGCAGTGAATGTTTCCTGCCCCTGGGCCCGCCTCCGGCCAGGTACTGGACGGCCAGGCTGAACTAGAGAGCTGACGTCCCACCTTCATGGAGTTTACAGTCGAGTCGGGGAGAGAGGCAAG